ATGTCTTCTGGCTATGAAAATTGCTTGCACTTTACCAAACTCCCCAGTTTAAGCTGTATCCTGAATCTTTCTCTGCAAAAGCCACAATGCTTATAGCCTCTGGCATTATACTGCTGCTGACTGGGTAGACATCCTGTCTCCTAGTGAGGATTACACAGCCCAGCACTCGCTAACCCCCTGTTGGGTAGACACCTCTGTACTAAGGGAGTGAGCTCCCTAATCTGTGAGCAAATAGTACCCACATCACACGCGGGCCTGCCTGAGGCCTCTATCTCTTGAACTCTACTCAGTTAAGTTTCACTGAATTGACACATCTCTCTGCCCCAGTCCCTGGACTCCCCACGTGGAATGCTCCCCCTCTCCAAGCATCCAGGGACTTGGCCTCTTCCACGCATGCTCATTTGTTCCGCGGACAGTCAACGACAGCTCATTGAACCAGTGGGAAAGATCATTCGGGGGAAAGCTCCGCCTCCTCCAATACCGTATGTGGAAGAGTCCAGCGCGGGATGTGGGGGGGTGTTTGTCAGTGAACCAGTCCGAACCCTGAAATATGGGTGGGGGAGGCTGAGACCTTAAAGCCTCGTCTCTATTCTAGCTCCTTCTTCGCTGCTATTTCAGCTCCGTGGGCTTCCGTGGGGCGCCGTGCGTTCCGCCCCCCACGATCACCATGGTTTGCTCCCCCCTCTCTGACGCTGGTTTGATTTAACCGTCATAGGGGGCGATAAGGTACGTCATCGCGCAGCTGAATGTTCATTGGTTGGGGAGGTAGCCGAGCTGGTCATGACCATTAGTCCAACTGTCTCTGTGGGGGTGAGCTGCTGATTCTGGCTGCGCTAGGGAGGCGGGGGCCGGGAAGGAGACAGCGGGCCGATCCCCCCGTAGCGCTGGTCGTGGCCAGCCGTCGCGAGCCGGTAACGGCGCCTGAGCCCACACTATGTCCGGCAAGAGTAAGCCCTTGTCTAGCTGCAGCTGCCCGGAGCTGGCCGCGGGGCAGCGAGTCGGAGCGGGCGGCCGAGGTGCTGCAGCCCGACTGCCCCAGGAGGAGTCTGAGGCGCAAGGACGGGGCCGCAGGGCTCACCCTAGCCTGGGTGACCCTGCCATTGTCAAGTCCCCCAGTGACCCCAAGCACTACAGGTGAGGGGGAGGGGCCCAGCACTAAACGGGACCGCAGGGGAGGGGGCCGTGTGGGGATGAAGGTGGAAGGGATTCTCTTCTCCTCCCCCACCCCCCAGCGTCACGGGGATGGTGCAGAGGGCCTAGGCGCTTCCCCGGCCTTACAGTAACCCTAGAAGAAGAAACTAAAACAAACGATTTCCCCCCCCTTCCTCCCTCATACATTTCCAGTTGCTTCCATATCAGCAGCAAACGTGAACTCAAGGGTTGAATGAATACTTTTAAAACGTAGCATGGGTACGAAGTGGGCTGTAGCCCACGAAAGCTTATGCTCAACTACATTTGTTAGTCTCTAAGGTGCCACAAGCACTCCTGTTCTTTTTCAAGTATTAGAGGGGTAGCCGTGTTAGTCTGAATCTGTAAATAGCAATAGAGGGTCCTGTGGCACCTTTAAGACTAACAGAAGTATTGGAGCATAAGCTTTTGTGGGTGAATGCCCACTTCGTCCGACGCAAGTTCTTGGATCCGGTTCTTTTTGTGGATACAGACTAACACGGCTGCTACTCTGAAACCGATGGTTACAGTGATTGTGCTTTTATTTCTCTGTGGCAGTGATGGTCCTTCCCTTGATAGCTCTGGTCAAGTGTAGTAGGTCAAGTGAAAAATTCTCTAAGTTATATATGTTTTTATTGGAAGTTGAGAAAGCAGAGCAGTGTTATCTGGCAGGAGTCATCATAAGGAATTTAACCTTTTCAAACCCCTCTGGGCCCTCTTTTCAATGCTTTGTCTCCTGGAGCACCAACCACATACACTGTTAACATTAAGAAATTTTAACTTTGTTGGATGATACCTCTACAGCCTGTAGAGAAATGCTTGTCTCCTTCAGTGAGGGTTATGATTTTTCACATTGGGCAAGTTGTTTCTAACTTGAACTTTTGAGCCTGGATAATTGACATAAAATATTATTTGAAGGCCCTTGCCAGCAGCTGCAGAGTAATGCACTTGTCTGTGCACAGAAAAAAAAATCACCAAATTCTTGTGACTTTACACTATATAACCAAAGCTAACTTATGGCAAATAGGCCCTGATCTATACTACAACTTTAGGTTGGTGTACGTTGCCTTTTGTCAACCTGTTTTGTGCATGTGTCTATACTCAGATTTGTCTCTGGCAGACATAAGCACCTAATTATTGCAATGCAGTAAAACCACCTGCCTGAACAGTGTAGAGAAATGGGTGATGATCTGAGTGTGCACGTAGGTGCTGCATGATGTGTATTGACCCTAACAGTGCTCTAGGAGCTGTCCCATAATGCACTGTTTGCTGCAACAGTCACAGCTCTTGTAACAGCTGTAAATTCCACTGCCCAGAGGTCACAGCTACTGTAAGCCCCACCTCCTTTGAAGTCACCTATGTATTTTTGAAATGCCTTTTCCTGATTGTCTACCTTGGTGAACATGTCTAGGAACTCTCCCCTGTTACGTGTAACTAGCCAGCCGACCAGACTGGCTCAACACACCGGACATGCTCTTGCTTGGAGTAAACAAGAGATATTGGGTCTCGTGGGACTATAGGGAGAAGAGGCTGTGCAAGCACAGCTATGGACCACCCGTAGAAATGTGGACATCTATGAGCAAATTGCATGGGGAATGCAGGCAAAAGGATGCAACAGGAATCAGAAATAGTGCTGAAGGAAAGCGAAGGAAGTGCAGTTAGCATGCTACGAGACAAGGGAGGCCAATAATCAATCTAGTGGTGAGCTGCTGATCTGCTTTTAAAACAAACTGTGTGCCATATTTGACAGAGGCCCCACTAGCACTCCGCAAACCACTGTGAATACCTTGGAGGAGCCTGAGATGTAGAGCCCCGCCACGAACAGGGAAGAGGAGGAGAGGGGAGATGTGGGGCAGGGGGGAGGGAGTCCAACCATACAACAAATCAAGACCTGTCTGAGACTCCACCATGGTCTAGTCAGTCCTGGCAGCCAAATATGGATGAGCCCAATGAAGAGGAAGGGATCTTTGGTAAGCATGTGCATGCATTTTTCCTTACAGTGTTTAAATGTAAAGATGTCTCCTGGCCCATTGTCAAGTTAACAAGACACCGGTATAAACTTTTAGTTGTTTTACTCATACAGGAAGAGATGGAGGTAAAACAAATAGAGAGAGGTGGTATCTGCGTTTTGTTCCCCCGCTGGATTGGACATGGAGAGGGCCAATCGGAGCAGTTTGTTTATGTACAGAAGAATGTCCCTTGTATCCTCCTGAGAGATCTCAATGAAACTTTCATGGTGTTACTCCGCAATCCTCTCCTGAAGAGTTCTAGGGATGGCTGCCTTATTTCTTCTTCTGCAGACGATACTTTCCCACACCTCACCATGGTGAGTTCAGCTGGCAGCATTGCACTAAGCAGGCTAGTGGCATGTTGGCCTGGATGGCTTCAGGATGCCAGTAGCAGCTGTGCTGTCTGTGGCTTTGCTATCCTCCGGAGTGAGATATCAGCTAAAACCACCACTGCCTATAGACAATAGTGCCAATATTCAGTGCCATTGCTCTATATTTGTAGAATGGAATAGGGACCAAAATTTGATTGTTTCATGCAACCAGAATTCCTCCCCTGCCCCCAGTGGGCCCATGCTCACCATGGCTGGGGCTGCAGAGTGGTGCTGTGCAGCGGCACTTCAAAGCTGAAATGTCAATAAGCAAGTCTTATGAAAAGTTTTTATGGGAATAAGGGAAGGGAGTTTGAAACTTATTCCCTCTCTGTTGTGACTATAAATCCAATGATACATCTGTCTGTTTTTATCAGCAGCTGCCATTGTGGCTTTGAGGGATGCCCCTTGCACATCTGCAGAACACCTGATCCTGAAGAGGAGAAAGAAGAGGATTAGTTCAGCAAGACCTTGCAAGCTATTGCTGCTTCAGATCGTGAACAAAGGTCCTGGAGACCAGCGTGACAGATGTTATGGAGAATGAAAAAGGAGACGGGAAAGGCTAGGATTCCCAGCAGGAAGGGGAAAGGGAGATGCACCAAGACATAATAGAGCTTCTCAGGCAGCAAACTCAGATGCTGGTTGACCTACAGGCCCAGAAATCTGGCTCCCCGCACTTTGCAGTCCTTAGAGAGCTCTGTAGAAGCAGCCCTGACACTCCAAAGCATATCATGTGGCATCACGGGCCACATCTTAATCCCTATGATTCCTCACTGTGTGACTGCAAGGAAAAACACTGCTTAACATACACCAACATAGGTCAGTATGTGTAGCACAAGGGATGACATTTGTATATTGAAATGGACAGAAATTTTTGCTGCTTTTCCAATTCTAAAAGTTCAGTTCACAGTTTGTATTGCCTGCTGTTTTTTGCACATTGCTTTTCTGCACTGTTTTTGCCAAATTTCTTATTTTTTAAATAATTATGCTTCACAACACATTTCAGAATGCAATGCAATGCTCAACGCATAGAGTACTTGTAAATGTACAGCACCACAAAACTCAGAGGTTCTGGAAAACACCCCCCAGTCATATTTATAAATGTACAGCAAGCACCAGATCATTCATAGCTTGGGTAAAACATAATGTGTGTAAATATGCAGAAAGCACTACACATTTCCCGACAGCACTCAAAGCTTCAGGTCCACAGAACATTCCAGTACAGAGCACGGCTATCGCTGACTGTTAAAGTCTTCTTTTAAAACCTCACTTAACTGCCTAGCTCCATGTTGAACTCTTGTAATGGCTGATGCATGGCTGTTCAAAGTCTGCTCTGTCTCCTACTTCCATCCTGGTGACAGCTTTTCCCCCATTGCCTCACACATATTATTTAGGTCACATGAGGTAGCTATAACCATTGAAATATTTTTCTCATTGAGATCCAGTCTAGTGAGTAAACCCCACCAGTGTCCCTTCACTCTACCAACAGCACATTCAACTGTCATTCTGCGCTTTCTGACCTGGTGGTTGAGTCTTTCCTTGGTGTGGTTGAGGTGGCCAGTAAATGGTTTTGTGAGCCCTGGGAGCAAGGGGTAAACTGGATCCACCAGAATCACTAATGGCATTTCAGTAGCACCAGTGGTAATCCACTGGTTGGGAAAGAACGTCCCCGCTTGCAGCTTTCTGAACAGTCTTGTGTTCTTAAAGATGTGGGTGTCGTGCTTTCAGTAACTAGCGCTCAGTTATGTAGGGATAATCTTTACTTTTTCCATCTTCAACTCAACGTGGAAAAAGTTAAGAACGCTTGACCAAATGGCCTTACTATTCAGCATTACCTAGCACTATTTGAGATTCCCCCCTCAGCTTTGCTAGCTAAAACCCAATTGCTTTCAGCTGTTCCTGAGTTAATCTCTGACCTTAATAATGGAAACTTTTTCCTGCTGTATTTAGTAAACATCGTCAGTGTTGACCTGAAGATGGGAGTAAATAGAACAGTATTATTATATTCCCTTTTACTTATTTGGAGAAGTGTATAAAGAAATACAAAGATCTAGAAAGGATAAAAGCATGGATAGAAATAGCCAAAGAGGCTTATGACTTCTGTCAAAATATTCTCTTCTGAAATGATATGGAAGCTATGTTGCTACACCTCATAATTGTGTGCTCACCATGCTCATAACACTTGCAGCTCTATATAATTAAATCTCATACTTCAGGACTTCAGCTGGTTGCCTCCAGTGGTCAGGCAGGAATTATTTCCCCTGATGCACAGCTGGCTAGATGGGCTACAGCTAGAACTGGGACACCATTCAGGGTGGACCAGTAGTCTAAGGTAGCACAAAAGATTCTCTTTCTAGATGCCTGGCTGTGTGTCTTGCTCACATGCTTAGGGTCAGACTTACTGCCCTATTTGGAGTTGGGAAGGAATTTTCCCATGGGTCAGAGTGGCAGGGACTTTCTTTTTTTCCTGTGTTCCCCAGAAGCAAGTGGTGTGGTTTGCCTGCTGGGATCATCTGAGTATATCTTACCTAATTAATTCCCTGCCGTTGCAATAATTTTTTTAAAAAAAGGTAATTGGGATGACTTGGTAATCAGCTTGACATTGATCCTGGGCAAGATAATGGAGTGACTAATATGGGACTCAGTTAATAAAGTATTAAAGGAGGTTAATGTAATTAATTACATCAATATGGGTATATGGAAAATAGATCCTGTCAAACATATCTTTTTTTTTTTATGAGATGAAAAGTTTGGTTGATAAAGGTAATAGTGTTGAAGTAATATATTGAGACTTCTGTATGTGTTTTGACTTAGTACCACATGACATTTGGATTAAAAAACTAAAATGATATAAAATGAACATGGCACACATTAAACGGGTTTAAAACTGGCTAACTGATAGGTCTTGAAATTTAATTGCAAATGGTTAATTGACATCAAGTGGGTATTTTCTGGTGGTGTCCCCCAAGGATTGGTTCTTGCCCCTATGCTATTCATCATTTTTATCAACGACCTGGAAGAAAGTATGAAATCATCATTGATAAAATTTGCAGACACAGAAATTGGGGGAGTGGTATAGTGAATAGGACAGGTCACTAATTGGTAAACTGGGCGCAAGCAAACAATATGTGTTTTAGTATGGCTAAATGTAAATGTTTACATATAGGAACAAAGACTGTAGGGTGTACTTACAGGATGGGGTACTCTGTCCTGGGAAGCAGTGACTCTAAAAAACATTTTGTGGTCATGATGGATAATCAGCAGAACATGAGCTACCAACATGATGCTGTGTCCGAAAGAGTTAATGTGATCCTGATGCACAAACAGGGAAATCTTGAGTAGGAGTAGAGAGGTTATTTTAATCTCTGTATTTGGCACTGGCATGACTGCTGCTGGAACACTGTCCAGATCTGGTGCCCACAATTCAAAAAGGATATTGATAAATTGGAGAAGGTTCAGAAAAAAGTCATGAGAATGATTAAAGAATTAGAAAATATAACCTTACAGTGATAGACTCAAAGAGCTCAATCTATTTAGGTTAACAAAGAGAAAGTTAAGGGTGACTTGATTGCTGTCTATATATCTATGTGGGGGACAAATATTTAATAGTGGGCTCTTCAGTCTAGCAGAGAAAGGTGTAACATGATCAAATGCCTGGAAGCTAGACAAATTTAGACTGGAAATAAGGAATACATTTTTGACAGTGAGTGTAGTTAACCATTAGAGAACAATTTACCAAGCATCTTGGTGAAGTGTCCTTCATTGTCCGTTTTTAAATCAAGATTGTATATTTTCTAAAAGCTATGCTCTAAGAATTATTTTGGGGAAGTCTGATTACCTGTGTTATGCAGAAGGTCAGACTAGATTATCACAGTGGTCCCTTCTGGCCTTGGAATCTATGAATTTATGAATCTTAGGAACTGGTGGCACCTTGGTCTTTCCTGTTTTCTGCTTGTGACACAAAGTTTACTGTCCTTAGGACTGAAATGCTTTAGTCTAACTAAAGTTGTTGGGCTTACTGTATTGGTATCTGGATGAAATTTAATGGCTTGTGATGTACAGGAGGTCACACTAGATGATATAATGGCTCCTTCTGGCCTTAAACTCTATGATACTATAATGGTCACTAGCAGAAGCAGTATCCATTTGAGTACAAGACTTTTGTTGTAGGACGTGAAGACAAGTGACTGTTCACACTACAGTAATATAAATTTAATAAGTTGTTATAGGGTCAACAATTGTATATATTCTAGAATAGGGGTTCTCAACCTTTTTCTCTCTGAGGCCCCCCTCAACATGTTATAAAAACTCCAGGGTCCACCGGGTGTGGGGGAACTCAGGGCTCCGGGCCAGCAGGGGTTGGGAGGGCCTTGGGCATAGGTGTAGTTTGACTTTTATTTGGGGTGGAGGGCAAGGGCCGGCAGCTCCGCACAACGCGGTCCAGGGAGGGAGTGCCACCTCCACTCCCTGACTTACCTCAGCAGGCCACCCAGGGGGGATGCAAACAAAAAATATAACTTAAAGTGGGTACTCAGTTCAGAAAGTTTGAAAACCACTCAGAGTGCAGGGAGTGGGGTAGGTAGGGGATGTGTGTAGGCAGGGGGTAGCTCAGGGTGAAGGAAGAGGGTAGCTAGAGGCTATGTGCCAAGAGGGCACCCTCTGTGGTGGCTGTTACCCGAGGGCTCTGCCATCCTGGAGCTGGGTCCCCCTGCCTGGGCAGCTTTTAGCGGCTGCATGAGCAGTCAAAGGGGGCTGGGAGCTGAGGAGCAGCTGCAACCCTGGACACCAGCAGCAAATGGGGGGAAGCCACAGCTGCCCGCTCCAGATGACACCACCAGCCAGAGGAACAGCTGCCCCGCACTGCCTGGCTCTGGCTTCCCACCTACAACCTGGCCAGAGGGTGGGGCCTGAGGGGAACTGGGGGTGGGGGGCTGGAGCTTCCCCCGGGGCTACCCCACTCTGGGTAAGGCACTGCAGTTTGGGAGGGCAACACCCTTGTGCCCCACAACTCTGCCCATGGGCTCAGGGTTTCTGCCTGTGGGGAGCTCCAGGGCTCAGGGCTTCAGCCCTGCCCTGCTCCTGGCTTCAGCCCAGGGGGCACCCTGAGGGGGGGCACTGGGGCTCCCCTACTGCTCCCAGCTCCAGAGGGGGAGGGCGCCAGTGCTCCCAGCTTGACCCTGTGTCACTCCTGGCTTCAGGGCACAGGGGCTGCCGGCTTCTGCCCTGCACTGCTGCCGGCTTCAGCTCTGCACTGCACCACTGCAGGCTTTGTGGGGGCTGCTACGGTTCAGGGCACCGGGTTTCAGCTGTGGGGCCTTGTGGCCCCCTTGAAAGGTCTCTGACCTGGGTGTAACAGATGCAACTATAGCTGCCTAAATCTGCAGACAGTCTGAACCAATAGCTTTGAGAAGTGCAAATTTCCATATGCATCTCAATGAGAATCTGCCACTCCAAATGGGGGTGGATGAAGCCACAGGACCCTCATTTTGTGGTGTGTATTATGCTCTAGATTGTCTTAATCCAGCTCTGAGTAAATACAACACAACTAGGGTAAACATACACTACTCTTCCTTGCTTTATAAACCCATATCTACACACAGAAAGTGTGAATTGAAGAATGCACCATGTTATCACTATCTAGTTTAAAAATGCAGGAGTTAAGGCTTGTTTTATTAAATATTCTGATAATTAAATCTATTAACTAGTTTGAGTTAAATTTCATTTAAAACTGGGTCCTTCAAAGAAAAAAGTGTTCTGTCTCTGTGGTTGGTGTTTTTTTTTTTTTTTTGAGGGAGAAGGAAAAGTTAGTTGATATGATCTGGAGCTTTTTATATTGTTGCTGTTGTTAAAATCCTGTTTCTTAAGAAGCTAAAACAAGACATACATAAAAGAGTAAAGTAAAGAATAGCAAAGATAGAAAATGTAGTTTCTGTCTCTGGTGTTGACTTTCACTTGCAAACTCACTGTTGGGAAAACACCGGCCCAATACACAGTCTTGTCATCCACTCTGAGATCTGGAAACTTGTACTGACATCAGGCTGTTTAGGACATTTCTTTTAGTTGCCTATTTCTGGTCACAGGCTTACAGCAGTGTTGCAAATATGCAATGTTGGAAATCAGCAACAAAGGTTTGAAACAGAAGAAAAAACAACAACAAAGGTTGCAGGATGGATATAATCAATCTCTTTGATGCACAAGAGAACTTCAGCTATGACAGGCATTCAGAATGGACTGACTGGAAGAAATGCTTTGCAAGACTTTACATTGCTACTAAACTTTACCAGGAAACTGGAGACATCCAGGTATTGTCTTTAATTTATGCTATGGGGAAGCAGGCAGAGTATATCTTTAAATCCTTTGCCTTTACTGATGACAATCACAAGGATGACTGAAAGAGTTCTGGCTCTGTTTGATGCATACTTTATACCTTTAGAGAAATGTGGTTTATGAAAGGGCGTGTTCTCGCCAGAGAGATCAAGAACCAGGGGAATGTGTTGAGTCTTTTGTAAAAGTCTTTCATACCTTGGCAGAAAACTGAGATTTGTGGATTGCAAAACATGAAAATATCAAAGAGAGACTGATTATTGGGCTTACAGACAAAAGTGTCTCACAGCAGGTTCAATTAAAGACAGTTTTAACCATACACACAGCTATCCAGATAATAAAGCAGAGTGAGCTAGTGAAGGAGCAAAACAAAAAGCAGGAGCAACTTGAAAAACCAGAAACTAGCTCAGAAGCAGTAAAGAGACACAGCATGTCTGCAAAAACTAATTATCATAAATCCACTGAGGAAAAGAGGGACAAGTCCATAGCTACAAAATCTTTCAGACTAAATTCACAAGATGTGGAAAAATTCAGAGCCCATTCACATCTTCAGTTTGTTCCTCGGAAGGAACAATCAACAGAGTAAACTTTACAAATGGCAGATGTAGAACAAGAAGAATACAATTCCAAACCAACCACAGCCAGCCATTGCAACTAATGGACAGCCAGATCACAAAGTTATTAGGCATTTGAGTCATGTTATTAGAAAACCTGTATGATTCAGAAACACCGTAACAAACTGATATGTACTGAACTTTAAAGTTTGCATGATCGAGTAAAATTTTGTAAATGGTACGACTATAAAACTTAAAGGGGGAGATGTGATGGAATGCTAAAACGATTATAATGTTCAGCCAGCAGGTGGCACTATGTGTAACATACTTTATCTGAGCTGGTAACAGCTATACCTGATAGTGCTTTAAAGTATCTTAAAAAGAACACATTTCTTGTATCTTTCTTCATGATGAATGTTCTGTCGCCAGTCCAAAACTGGTACAGAAGCCTGTCCTACTTGTAGCAGTCCTGCAATCTACCGTGTACAAGCAGCATGTAACAGCCATCATAGCCAGACTAAGAAAGAAGGAGGTGAAAGAAAAGGACACATGGAGAGTGCGAGGGGAAAGATGAAGTCTCATATCCCAGCTGGTGTTCAGAATTGAGCCAATGCAGGTGATAGTGTCGTCTGGTTGCTTCTCTGAGGCCTGGTCTGGTCAGGACATCTCGCAGGATTAGGATGAAGAATATCTGCGGTTCCAGGAGATAGTGGGGTGGCAGCAATGCCGATAACCTTTTCTTCCATTGTTGGCAGACAGCTGCTGCTTCTGCTAGTTTTTCCTAAAAAGTCTTTTCTTTTTAAGACATCCCCCTCTCCGCCCCCCAAGAAGGGGATGTTGGGCAGTTGGCTAGGAGATTTCTTCCCATCCTCTTGGCCAATGACCTGGCCTCATTTATATATGCCTTTGTCACCTCTCATCTAGACTAAAGCAGTGCAGTATACCTGGGCATGAAGCCTTCAGTGCTTAGAGTGCTTCTCCTAAGTGAAATAGGCTATCACAAAACACATCATATCTGTCCTCTGCTCAATATGCTGGCTTCCTATAAAATGTCAAGTCAAGTTCAAGGTCTTGGTCCTTTTTATCAAGATGCTCAATGCTTGGGCCCAGGATATCTAAAATATTACCTAGAAGTCCAACATGAACACCATGGTCAACAACTCTGCTCCTATGGCACAATGGACCTTTCTACAATAAGGGAAAAGCTCATCTGTGCAGGAGACAGATCTTTCTCAGGCCGGTCTGAGACTGTGTAATGAACTCCCACAGGAACGAAGAACCATCACAAACGTCAACACTTTCTCTTCTCTGTGCATATTGCACTTCTTTGACCTTCCCTTCTCTAATATAAACATATGCTCTGTGTGTATATATATATATTTAAATTTAAAACAAAACATCCTACTAAAACAACACCTGCATGCACACAGAATTCTTCCCCAGGAAGAGGATATGAGAGAGAACAAAGAACATGTGATGGATGTTAGTCACATTGCTCAGTTCAGTACTGAAAGGTGCTCCAATACTGTGGTAATGAGCATAGTATAAGACCCTATATAGAATACAATTGAAATGTTTGGATTTCTCTTACATTTAAACGTCACTCTGAACTGCCTGGTTTTATAATGCGTCTGGTTTTTGGTGTGTGTGAGAGTGTGTTGGGTGGGTGGATAATTGCAACATCCCTGTGGTGCTTTTTACTCTAAATTACTATCAACCTTATCTCCATTTTAACCCAGTTTTTGTCTGGGAATATAATTAAATGGCAAAAAGGGACTGGTAGATATTTTTTTTAACTTTTCTGCTCTCAAACTACCTTTCATGCTTAGCAGATCTTCAAGGACATCACTGTGGGAAAGGGAATGCAGTTCAAAAACCAAGAACGGGTTCTCAAACTTCATTGCACTGCAGCCCCCTTCTGACAACAAAAATTACTACATGACTCCAGGAGTGGGGACCGAAGCCTGAGCCCATCCGAGCCCCATTGCCCCGGGAGGGGGCAAAGCCCGAGCTCCATTGCTCCAGGTGGGGGGAAGGTTGGAGGGCAGCCAAGCTGAAGCCCAAGGGCTTCAGCCTGGGGAGGTGGCTTGTAACTTGAACCCTGCCGCCCAGGGCTGAAGCCTTCAGGCTTCGGCCCCAAGTGGTGGGGCTCGGGCTTCAGCAAGTCTAAGCTAGCCCTGGCGACCCCATTGAAATGGAGTTGTGACCCACTTTGGGGTCCCAACCCACAGTTTGAGAACCTCTGGCCTAGAACAAATATGAAAAATTCAGAATTTTTCAGACTTTCTTTGGGAGTTCTGTGGCTGCAGGTGGACAATTGAAGATTCAAATATTATTATAATTGATTTCACAGGTATCTCATGTTACAAAATGGCTTGTGTGCACTGCTGATTTCGGATGCAAATAACATGGATAGTGTTCCTTCGGAGGAGTCTTCGGAATGGGAGGATAATGATGAGACCGAGATTGAAACTGATGAAGATGATGACTCGGGAGCAGAGATGGATGAGGACAAGGAAAATTATGAGGATGATGACAATGATGGAGATGATGAGGAGGATCCCAATAATTCTGATGATATGGAAATGGAAGAACTAACAGAAAAGGAAGAAGCAAAGAAGAGAAGTGGTACAGAGAAGCTGGTATGTACTAATGTTACAGAGTCAAAGCTTGTTAAGTAGAGAACTACTCTCATGGTCCTAAGCTCTTAAATATTGTGGTCTGACAAACAAACAGGCTAGTCCTCCATTCCTGAATGTCCTATCCATCTAGTTACTAATGTGGCCTCCATCTCTGGTATCTGAGCATCTACCTCTCTTGTTCAGGGTTGAGCCTATATTACCATTACTTATGGACTCATAGCTCATATTTCCAGCAGAACATCCTGGTCTGTTTCACTCTTCTGTTCTTTGTTGAGTATAGAGTAGCTCTGTTAGATTGTTAGAACTGGAGTTCTCGCCTACTAGATAAAATGACTGTATTTTTTTTTAGAAGTGACTCCTCAGTGTCTGTTGTGTTTATTTTGCAGTCTGCAGCTGCTCTTTGTGTTGCTGTTGGGAGTTTCTGTGATCCTGAGGATCTGCCTGGGTTGGCACATTTTCTGGAGCACAGTATGTATCATCTTACATTTCAGTCTTTCCTCCCAAAGTGAAAAATGTAATGACATTATTTTGGATTTATTGATTTATATGAAATATTGTAGAAGCAGAATGCCAGATGGGTGTGATATGTAGGTACCACATCAAAAAGGTTTTAAAGAGGGATGTTAGAGGCTAAGATGGGGATTTCATGAATTATCAGGGGGAGTTCTCCCCAAGTGTAAGGGGTTGCATGAAGAATGCATGGAGGTGAATGTGGGAAAAATGGGGCTGGCATCACTGGTGATATAAAGTTGTTGGGGGTGGGTAAACTTCATAATACAAACAAGTTGGAAGGTAGGGTAGAACTAAATGATGGAGGGCCTTAAAGATGAGGACCACATGCTGTGCTTGGTGTGGTAGAGAGTGAAGAGTGGGTGAGGTGATTGTGACACAGAGGCTCATAGGTAAAGGGCTCCCTATTCTTTGCAAAAAACCCCTCTTACTTCAGACTTGACAAATTCACTACACCAAACATGTGCCTTACAGGATATTTATCCATAAAGAGTAACATTAGGATACCTCCAAAAAGCTAGTAACTTGTCAAGATTCATATAATTGCAAGGTGTATGTATGGGTGATATTTAAGGAATAATTAATGTCTATTGAAAGTATGCTTTATAGACGTGGAGTAAAAAATTAGCCACCAGGAGATATGTCTTGGTGGTGGGCTGTTCAGGTCACTCTGCCCTGCTTAGTTGGTGATGCAATGCAAGGCTTGATTATTTATCCTTGTTCAATCCAAAAACCATCAAGGAAAAATCATAAGAGACAACTGCAAATCATCAAATCCTATTGAGGGTAAAGAAAGTAATGTTACAACAAGACAGGGATGCCCTGCCCATGAATAGAAACAAAAGATTGTTTCAGATAACACAGATGAGGGAAAGGTATTCTGGATGATTTCACTGAGGAGACATTTTGAGGAGCAAGTTGTTCTCATGAAAAACTTGGATCCTGATTCCAGTGAAGCCAGCCAGCTCTGCAACAGACAGAACTTTTGGGGAAAAACCTACTTTATTAGACATGAAAGGTAACTATTAATAAGTGTCAAGTATCAGAGGGGTAGCCGTGTTAGTCTGGATCTGTAAAAAGTGACAAAGAGTCCTGTGGCACCTTATAGACCAACAGAAGTATTGGAGCATAAGCTTTCGTGGGTGAATACCCACTTTGTCAGACGCATGTGGTGGAAATTTCCAGAGGCAGGTATAAATATGCAGGCAAGAATCAGTCTAGAGATAACGAGGTTAGCTCAATCAGGGAGGATGAGGCCCTATTCTAGCAGTTGAGGTGTGAACAGCTAGGGAGGAGAAACTGCTTTTGTAGTTGGCTAGCCATTCACAGTCTTTGTTTAATCCTGCGCTCATGGTCTCAAATTTGCAAATGAACTGAAGTTCAGCAGTTTCTCTTTGGAGTCTGGTCCTGAAGTTTTTTTGCTGCAGGATGGCTACCTTTAAATCTGCTATTGTGTGTCCAGGCATGTTGAAGTGTTCTCCTACAGGTTTTTGTATATTGCCATTCCTAATATCTGACTTGTGTCCATTTATCTTTTTACGTAGGGACTGTCCAGTTTGGCCGATGTACATAGCAGATGGGCATTGCTGGCACATGATGGCGTATATTACATTGGTGGACGTGCAAGTGAATGAACTGGTGATGTTGTGGCTGATCTGGTTAGGTCCTGTGATGGTGTCGCTGGTGTAAATATGTGGGCAGAGTTGGCATCGAGGTTTGTTGCATGGATTGGTTCCTGAGTTAGAGTTGTTATGGTGCGTTGTGTGGTTACTGGTGAGAATATGCTTAAGGTTGGCAGGTTGTCCGTGGGCGAGGACTGGCCTGCCTCCCAAGGCCTGTGAGAGCGAGGGATCGTTGTCCAGGATGGGTTGTAGATCACTGATGATGTGTTGGAGCGGTTTTAGCTGAGGACTGTAGGTGATGGCCAGTGGAGTTCTGTTGGTTTCTTTCTTGGGTTTGTCTTGCAGCAGGAGGCTTCTGGGAAACAAATCAACAGAGCCAGACGTGTACGTGTAGACTGATTCTTGCCTGCATATTTATACCTGCCTCTGGAAATTTCCACCACATGCGTCTGTTGAAGTGGGTATTCACCCACGAAAGCTTATGCTCCAATACTTCTGTTGGTCTATAAGGTGCCACAGGACTCTTTGTTGCTTTTATTAATAAGTGTAGACCTAGGTTCACATTTTATTTTTTTTATTTTGGGTTGTAATGACTTGTTTTCATCTCTCTGTTGTTTCTAGTAGAATCTCTATCCTTTCTTAAACCTTGTGTTATGCAGGAGCGGTGATTTAAGGTAAAAAAGATAAGTGAGTTATCCTACGCTGGTGGAATTTCTGTGAGTAGCCAGTGTCGGGCTGGATATCACAAGGGAATGATTCAAAGGGTTTGGGGTGCACCTATTGCTAGCCCTTTCTTTGTCTTGAAGGTTGGCATAGCCTAGAGGAGAGTGCTTGAGTGGCTGAAAGGCTGGTGGTGCTAGAGAGCTGACACCCAGCCAAGCACAAGCATGACTCCCTCATGCGGGAGGCCAGAGGTAACAAGGTGACTCTCTGTCCTGGATATGCCGAGGACCATCCCAGGGGTCATTATTATTTTTTATATTACTATTATGTCTAGTAGCCCTAATCATGGATCAGGACCCCATTACTGCTAGGTGCTGTACAAACAGAGAATGAAGAAGATGGTTCCTGCCCTAGGGGGTTTACAATCTAAGGGTAAGACTAAAGACATCAGATGGATATAGATCAGAGGGGAATACAAGTAAACAATGAAGCAATATTGGTGAGCATGACAGGCAGTGATCTTTGCACACTAGCTCTTAGTTGTGTGTCATTATGACCGGTAGGAACATGAGCCTAGTGGCAACATTTTAAATGGATATGAGGGAGGCTAATTTGGAGGCGTCAAGGTCGGGTGGGTAAAAATTGATAATTAAAAAAAATCAAAACCAGGTTCTTTTAATTTAAATTCAATTTTTAATGTAAATTACATTCATTTTCTTTTTAAAAATAAACCTAATTTAAAATTATGGCAATTTATGCTAATGCCTAAATTTATTATAATATGTTAAAATAATTTAAATGAATAAAAATGCTGAAACTAAGATGAGAAGAAATTTAGAAGTGGATAAAAAAGTGAGCTTAAAACTTATATTGTACAGAGCTCATTTGATGTATCTTTTAGCCAAAGACTGAGGTATACCAGGAATAAAGGAAAATGTTGTTGAAATGTTGTTCTTTAACAATCACTTTGCATCAGATTCACTGAAGAGAGAAGGAGGATCACAGCAAATTCTCCCCTAAGATGTATGATGGAATTTAGTGGTTGACTGTTTTGAAGTATTTATTAAAAATCTGGCCTATCCTGATGACAATTTTTAAAGAAAACTGTGACAAAATAGGTGGAAATTTCACATACCAGAATAGTTAGCATTAGACTAAAGGGAAATGTAGAAATTATACTGACTATACTAAAATCTATTTCCATAGCTTTGGACAAATTGAAAAAAGATAACTGCTATATTGGTGATGTTGTTGAAATTTGGCAAGAATTTAAGGAAACGCTTAAAAAACAAAGCTAAATTACAGGCAGCGAACAAGCAGATCAAGCACTTACTCTGCCTTGTTTTTTTGCCAGTATTCACAATACCAAGTATCACAGTAAATACTTAATTGCTGAGGAGGAAGTGCTGCTATGGCATGAGCCTCTAATATTCATCCATCAATCAGAATAGATTTCAGGACTGGGGGTGAATCGAACCATTGATTAAAGCAACACGTTTGCTGCCAAAGTTTTGAAGAAAGTCAAACCAGTGAGGTGGTGGAAGTAACTGGCTAAGCACCTGGAACCAGATTTTTTTTTTACGTGACATAAGCTTTTGCTGGCAGTTGCCTCTTCTGCAGGTAGAAAGAAAATGTTTTCTTCATTCTGACTAGTTCATTCAAAATTGGGAGCTGAAAAAGCAGGAAAGCTTGTTTTCCTCTTCTAATCCATGAATAAAAACGAGGTAGAAAAGGATGAGAACTAGTTCCAAAATCTTGAAGGACCTACTGATCAGAAATAATCAGTTAAAGTCACTAACTACAGTCAATTCTTTCTTTGTTTAACAAATCAGCTAGTATTAAATGCAAAATATGTTATGATAAACTTACTTTTTTCTTTGTGTCCAGCACATTTAAGGTAGCTGTATTTAACTAATAAAAACAAATGTAAAAAGCTGTTTTGTGTGTTTCTAATTTAATTGAAATTTCCATCCAGATGCAGTGAGATATATATCATGAGTAGAAAAAGAAACATTTTCCAGTAAATAAGTTACAACATTCACCATTTTTAACATAAAAAAAAGTAAAAATTAGGAATCCTTTTAAATATGTTAAGCTATACAGACGCTCCCTGATTTACGCAAGCGTTGCGATCCGTATGTTTCATCAGCTGAATTCAGCCTCCTCCCGTTTTGAGCTCAGCTTCTGAAAGTGGTTTTGGGATTAATCATGTTGGTTAAGTAATGGAAAAGCCCATAGCCTCCAGTGGTTCTTTTTAAAAAAAAATTGTCCTTATGTGTTTCCAATTCTTTGTGGATTATACTTAGCCAGATTCTTGCTGAGACTGCCACAATCTGTAATCCATCAAATCCTTCCAAAACCGTCTTCAATTGTTTTTATGTTTTAGTGACTATCTACAGAGTTCTATTTTGTGTAAATATCAACCTATACTTGGTAGTTGGATGTAAATGTAGAGACACCAGTCTTCCAGAGTTCTACCAGGTGTCATTTGGGAAGCTTAAAACATCAAGCTTCCTTTTTAAGTCAGCCAGCTGCTGGAGGGCCTGGAACAGAGACTTATCACCATGGATATGTTTTAATGGCAATGGCAAAGAAACTGATTTTCTGCACCTCTTGAAAGGAGCACACATTCTCTTTTTTTAAACAACAATTGACAGTATGTGCATAGGGAAAGAACAAGTTAAAATTATTTGGACAAATTAGATGTCTTCAAGCCAACAGGGCCTGATGAAATGCATCCTAGAATAGTCAAGGAGCTGTCTGAGGAGATACCTGAGCCATTAGCGATTATCTTTGAAAAGACATGGAAGACGAGAGAGATTCCAGAAGACTGGAAAAGAGCAAATATAGTGCCAATCTATAAAAAGGGAAATAAAGACAGCCCAGGAAATTATAGACCAGTCATCTTAACTTCTGTACCCGGAAAGATAATGGAGCAAATAATTAAGCAATTTGCAAACATCTATAAGATAATAAGGTGATAAGTAACAGTTAGCATGGATTTGTCAAAAACAAATCGTGTCAAACCAACCTGATAGCTTTCTTTGACAGGGTAACAAGTCTTGTGGATGAGGGGAAGCGGTAGACATGGTATACCTTGACTTTAGTAAAGCTTTTTATACTGTTTCGCATGACCTTCTCATAAACAAACCAGGGAAATTGAACCTAGATGGAACTACTATAAAGTGGGTGCAAAACTGGTTGGAAAACTGTTCCCAGAGAGTATGTATCAGTGGTTCACAGTCATTGTAGCATAGAAGATTAGGGTTGGAAGAGACCTCAGAGGTCATCTAGTCCAAACCCCTGCTCAAAGCAGGACCAACCCCAACTAAATCATTGCAGCCAGGGCTTTGTCAAGCTGGGCCTTAAAAACCTCTAAGGATGGAGATTCCACCACCTCCCTAGGTAACCCATTTCAGTGCTTCACCACCCTCCTAGTGAAATAGTGTTTCCTAATATCCAACCTAGACCTCCCCCACTGCAACTTGAGACCATTGCTCCTTGGTCTGTCATCTGCCACCACTGAGAACAGCCGAGCTCCATCCTCTTTGGAACCCCCCTTCAGGTAGTTGAAGGCTGCTATCAAATCCCCCCTCACTGTTCTCTTCTGCAGACTAAACAAGCCCAGTTCCCTCAGCCTCTCCTCGTAAGTCATGTGTCCCAGCCCCCTGATCATTTTCTTTGCCCTCCGCTGGACTCTCTCCAATTTGTCCACATGCTTTCTGTAGTGGGAGGGGGGCAAAACTGGGCGCAATACTTCAGATGTGGCCTCACCAGTGCCGAATAGAGGGGAATAATCACTTCCCTCGATCTGCTGGCAATGCTCCTACTAATGCAGCCCAATATGCTGTTATCCTTCCTGGCAACAAGGGCACACTGCTGACTCATATCCAGCTTCTCATCTACTGTAATTCCCAGGTCCTTTTCTGCAGCGGTGCATGGGATTCTTCCATCCTAAGTGCAGGACTTTGCACTGGTCCTTGTTGAACCTCATCAGATTTCTTGTGGTCCAATCCTCCAATTTGTCTAAGTCACTCTAGACCCTATCCCTACCCTCCAGCATATCTACCTCTCCCCCCAGCTTAGTGTCATCCGCGAACTTGCTGAGGGTGCAATCTATCCCATCATCCAGATCATTAATAAAGATGTTGAACAAAACTGGGCCCAGGACCGAACCCTGGGGCACTCCGTTTGATACCGGCTGCCAACTAGACATCGAGCTATGGATAACTACCTGTAGAGCCCGACAATCTAGCCAGCTTTCTATCCACCTTATAATCCATTCATTCAATCCGTACTTTTTTAACTTGCTGGTAAGAATACTGTGGGAGAACGTGTCAAAAGCTTTGCTAAAGTCAAGATATATCACGTCCACTGCTTTCCCCATATCCACAGAGCCAGTTATCTCATCATAGAAGGCAATCAGGTTGGTCAGGCATGACTTGCCCTTGGTGAATCCATGCTGACTGTTCCTGATCACCTTCCTCTCCTCCAAGGGCTTTAAAATGGTTTCCTTGAGGACCTGCTCCATGATTTTTCCAGGGACTGATGGGAGGCTGACCAGTCTGTAGTTCCCCGGGTTCTCCTTCTTCCCTTTTTTAAAGATGGGCACTATATTTGCCTTTTTCCATGCTGTCATGCTGGAAGGGCATTATGAGTGGGGTCCCTCAGGGATCAGTTCTGGGTCCAGTTCTGTTCAATATCTTCATCAATGATTTAGATAGTGGCATACAGAGTACACTTATAAAGTTTGTGAATGATACCAAGCTGTGAGGGGTTGCAAGTGCTTTGGAAGATAGGATTAAAATTCAAAATGATCTGGACAAACTGGAGAAATGGTCTGAAGCAAATAGGATGAAATTCAATAAGGACAAATGCAAAGTACTCCATTTAAGAAGGAACAATCAGTTGCACACACAAAATGGGAAATGACTGCTTAGGAAGGAGTACTGTGGAAAGGGATCTGGGGTTCATAGTGGAGCACAAGCTAAATATGAGTCAACAGTGTAACGCTGTTGCAAAAAGAGTGAACATCCTTCTGGGATGTATTAGCAGGAGTGTTGTAAGCAAGACATGAGAAGTAATTCTTCCGCTCTGCTCCGTGCTGATTAGGCCTCAACTGGAGTATTGTGTCCAGTTCTGGGTGCCACATTTCAGGAAGGATGTTGACAAATTGGAGAGAGTCTAGAGAAGAGTGACAAAAATGATTAAAGGTCTAGAAAACATGACTTCTGAAGGAAGTTTGAAAAAATTGGGTTTGTTTAGTCTGGAAAAGAGAAGACTGAGAGGGGACATGGTAACAGTTTTAAAGTACGTAAAAGGTTGTTACAAGGAGGAGGGAGAAGAATTGTTTTTCTTAACCTCAGAGGACAGGACAAGAAGCAAGGGCTTAAATTGCAGCAAGGGCGGTTTAGTTTAGACATTAGGAAAAACTTCCTAACTGTCAGGATGGTTAAAGCACTGGAATAAATTGCCTAGGGAGGTTGTGGAATCTCCATCATTGGAGATTTTTAAGAGCAGGTTAGACAAACACCTGTCAGGAGTGGTCTAGATAATACTTAGTCCTGCCACTAGTGCAGAGGACTGGACTAGATGTCCCTTGCAGTTCTATGATTCTATGTAATGGGGTGTGCTAACTCCACACTGGTGAGGTGAGGGTTAAGGAGTTGCTCTGGATACCTTTGGCTGCCTTGCTGGGCATGCTGCCAGTGGAGGGAGAGTTCAAAAGGGAGTAGCTCAGCTCAGTCTAGGTGGACTGAGCAGGAGAGCAGTTGGACTCTGTAGCCTCCTGCAGAGAAGCAGCTAGGACAGGGCTCACAGTCAAGCCATGCAGGGCTTTCAGTTGTGGGGGCTGAGGATGACGTGTTGCTGCAAATAGGGGAAGACACTCGGGAGAGTGACCTGAAAGGACACCAAGGGGACTCCAAGACAGACCAGTGGTGCAGATGGAGGAACAGAAGCAGGGGTAGGAAGTGGCACAGGGGTAAGGGCTGGTGCCTGTCTGTAAGCTATGTGTCTGGACCATTATTTTGAAGGGCCCCGGGTTGGAACCTGGTGGAGCAGCATGGGCCTGGGTTCCCCTAGCCCCAGTCACTGGTTCTCACTGTTGGGTGACACTGACACGGGGTCTAGCCACCAAGCATAGTGCCACAGATTCCAGCTGCTAGACAAGGCAGCCCTTGACTCTCACCAATGACTCTGGGCAACAATAGTCCAGAATATCGCCACTCGTGGGTACTTCTGGTCTCGGACATAAATCCCCCCCCCCCACCCCCCACCCCGACAGTGCACTTTAGATTAATCATTTATTTTCAATAAATGAAATAGTAATTGCTTGTTTCTTACACTTCCTTCAATGTTAGGCATACTCAGTTAGATACATTTGAGTGCTCGTATGTTTCTCTATGGTGGCCTACTGAGGACTAGATTGAGACTGATGTGCTCCGTTTTAAGGTGCAACTTAAAATCATACTTGAAACCAAGTGTTTTCCATATTCTGAAATGATTCCATTCTATAACTTGCATTTTTAGGCTGGTCAATTGCTACAGGCTAGATTTCCCACTGGCTTACATCTTGTGTAGTAATTTACACCTGTGTAAATGGACATAAAATGCTGTCAAATCAAATGGTAATGCACTGTTGCTTTGTGTAAATGCCTTCACAAGGTGCAAGGCACTGGGAAATCATGCTGTCTATATGTAACTGTGCCGTTCTGAAATCATCATTGTGTCTATATCTGCTTAATTTTGATGGATTGTGTTTCAGTGGTATTTATGGGCAGTTTGAAGTATCCAGATGAGAATGGGTTTGACGCATTCCTGAAGAAACATGGGGGCAGTGACAACGCTTCAACTGACTGTGAACGGACAGTCTTCCATTTTGATATCCAGCAGAAATACTTCAAAGAAGCACTTGATAGGTAACCTTGCTCACACCAAATAAAGCACTGGTTCATTTAAAATAGATTAATACAATGTGTGTCTGCCTGAGGAAACTACATATATAACTTTGCATTGTCTTGTCTTGGCCTGATTGAAGGGAGCCTGCCGTTGCTGAGCTTCCATAGGTCCCCTTATTACAACCGAGGTCCTTATAGATGGAAGGAGACTGTGATTTTCCCTTAGATCTCTCACTGTCTTTTGAGGGAGTAGTAGTATCCCAGTAGTGTATAGTCTCTTAGGAGTGATGTAATTTATGCACCTGCTATGAAAGTAGGACAGCTTTCAATATGTATTTATGCCAGATTACTTGTAGGACTATGATAAATTCTCCTACTGTTGCAATTGCTAGTTCATTCCATTTACCTGGCTACTTAAAGGAGAATCTTTTATTGGCCTGTTCCTTTTAAACATGTGTCCCCTTAGGCTGTTTAATTTTTTATTAACAGTCTCTTTTAAAAAAAAATATTGATTCTTATAAGGCAGTGTACTACCAAAAAGGTGCAGTAAAATGATCCACTGCTTTATTCAACAAAATATAATGTTCAGTGCCAGGAAGGATCATTAATTAACTCTCATCATGCCATAGGATATGTCTGTACAATAAAGCTACATTTCTGTCATAGGAAAATTAAACAATCTTCTGATGGGGAGAGGGTAATTTAAATATTTTTGATATTGACAAAATTGCCTGGGGGGAAATTAGGTTGTACTGCAAATAGGCATTTTTATCAAAGCCATTAATATGGTGATGGAACTAATTTCTGCATTAGAATGCACACACAATGGGAGTTCTATGATAGCCTTCTGTAAAACATTGGAGTGCAGAATTCATCCCTCCAAAGGTGGGAATCAGACCAGCTTTGGCTATTTTGAAGAGTCTCAAAGATGGGTAGCAAAGATATTTAGACATATGGCAAGACTTGGATATGAGGAGAGACTGAAAAAGCTGGGGCTAGTTGAGAGGAGACAAAGCAGAGATGACATGATACATGTCTATAAAATAATGAATGGTATGTGGGGGATAAATAGGCACACCTATTCATCATCACTCATACAAGAACGTGTGAAGTTAATGAAATTGAAAGGCAACAAATTTAAAACTGATGAAGAAATATTTTTTTGCATAATCGATGTGTGGAACTCTGTCAGAAGGGATTGTTGAGGCAAAGAACTTAGTGACAGGTTTCAGAGTAGCAGCCGTGTTAGTCTGTATCCGCAAAAAGTCCACGAAAGCTTATGCTCTAATAAATTTGTTAGTCTCTAAGGTGCCACAAGTACTCCTGTTCTTTTTTTAAAGAACTTAGTGGGATTTTCAAATTTTTTTCCATCTTCCTCTGAAGCAACTGGTACTGACCACAGTTTGAGATAGGCACCACTGTCTAGATTGACCACTGAGGGTCAGATCTGGTGTGACAGGTCTTATGTGCTGAAGGCAGATGATTCTGCATCCTTTGGTACCATATTCTACCAGTCCACTTCCACTCCAAAGACCTTGCCCTTTGTCTTTCTGAAAATATTAAATAATTGGGTTTATTCATTTTACTTCAGAGGCATTAAGAACATGTGTCAAAAGAGTCCAGAACTATATAATTGTTTCTGAGTTACTGCAAATTCTAAACCTTAAAAAAAATGAATATTGTTGTTTGTCATAAAGGCAGTTTTTTGTTATAAAAAAAAACTTTCTGGACAATCTTTCAGCAGACAACAGGAAAGATTTGCCATTTTTCTCTTTGTTTTAGGTGGGCACAGTTCTTCATTCACCCACTAATGATCAGGGATGCAATTGACCGGGAAGTTGAGGCTGTCGATAGTGGTAAGAGTAATATTTTTGTCATAACCCTTTTTTGTTTATCTCTACAGCATTGACTGTACTGAAGTTCTTGACAAGATTCTCAGGTATTAAGTGCTGTGAAGTCTGATGCATAATATTTTATATGTCCTTTATTTAACTAGGGGCTAAAATTATGTCAATCAAATTTATTAAATCCTTGAGCCTAATGAAATATATACATTTATGTGAGTGTGAGTCAAGTTGTGTTGTGTTCACCCCTCAATGCAGAGCAAATGTTGGTATTAACATTGATAGGGAGGCTAGTCTTGTGAAAAAAGAGTACACTTGAGGGAGAATAATTAGAGTGTGAATCAGTCTGTAAATGAGGAGAAACTTCCTCTGATCAAAAAGGCATTCTCTGAAAAATTTCACCAGTCACCTGGTGTAATAAAAAACTGATGCAAAGAATAAAAGAGTACTAGGTTAATAGGGATCTGCAAAGGGGCAAAAATGGATCGGTGCCTTTTCTTGATGCTTCACGATATGTAAAGAAGGGCTAAAAATGTAGATTTTAAGAGATTTAAAAAAAATGTTTTCCTGCTTGTGTTTTTAAGTAAAGGTTAGGAACGTCAAGTCTGGTCTTCCCTTGTTTGGCTGGAGGATGTGTTAAACATCTCAGATGTGCAGCTTTCTCTGCCCTTAGTTGAAGACTTGGGTAGGAGAGTGATATATTTAATAAAGACTTCAGAAAAACTCAGGGAGTTGAATTAAATAATTGTTAGCAAAACTAAACAGAACACAGTTTTGGCTAAGGTTACTAGGTCACTGTTGTCTCTTCTGTAGGCTGGGGAGTGCATCTAGGGGTGTTGAAAATTCAGGGCTTGTTGGTGGAATAGGAAGTTTCCCTCCATATCAATTCCTGGAGCTCAGAGCCATTTACAATGCCTGCATAGATGCTACATGACTAGATGAGAAGGAGGAACGATGTTCGTAAGCTCTTTGAACAAGTGTTGCTTAACAGCTGCAAGTCCTCTCCTAGGGTGATTTATTTGGCCAAGTGGAAGTGTTTTTCAGTTTGGTTGCTTGCTGTGGAAATTCAGCCAACGCTGGCCTGTATTCAGGACATTTTGGAGTACCTATTGTGCCTTCAGTCCTCTGGTATCTTGGTCAGCCCATTGAGAGTTCACTTGGCAGCTATCTTTGTATTTCATCTGCTCACCCAAGGGAAGTCAGTTTTTCAAACTTCCTGGTGGTGAGGTTTCTAAGGGAAATCATTCGTCTTCACCTGCATGTGGAAGAGCCTGTTCCTTTGTGGGACCTTCATACTGTCATGGCTGTCCTTATGAGTCCTCTGTTTGAGCCACTGGCAACCTGTTATCTGTCCCTCCTGTGCCAGAAGACAGCCTTTCTTGTAGTTGTAACATCTGCAAGGAGAGTATGCAAGCTGCAGGCCTTAATGGTAGAGCCCCTGTGTACACAGTTTTTCAAGGATAAAGTGACCCTATCACCACATCCAATTTTTTTGTCAAAAATGGTTTTGCAGTTTCACCTTAAGCAAATGATTTATTTACTGATGTCCTTTCCTAAACTGCACTCCAATGTGGATGAACAACGATTTCACACTTGAGATGTGAGACAATGTTTGGCATTCTATCTGGAGAGACTGACTTTTCAATCACCTCATCTGTTTGTCTCCTATGTGGATCATATGAGGTGTCAGGCAGTCTCTGTGGAAATGATTTCCAGGTGGATAACTTCTTACATTACATTAGCATATGCGATAGCTCAGACCATGCCTTCACAGAGCTTGCAAGCTCATTTGATGAGAGCCCAAGCGACGTTGATAGCATTCCTCAGTGATATGTCAGTATTTGACATTTGAAGGGCTGTTGCCTGGTGTTCTGTACGTGCTTTTACCAGGCACTATGTGATTACCATGGCGTCTAGGTCAGATGCAAACTTTGGGAAGCCCGTCCTGCAGTCATTCTTTAGTAGACTCTGAGCCCCTCCTCTGTTCTACTTGTGAGTCACTTGAATGGAATACGTGCCTGCAGGCACTTGAAGAAGAAAAGACAGTTACTTGCCTTTATTGCAACTGTTGTTCTTTGAGATGTGAGCGCAGACGTGTATTCCACGATCCATCCTTTGTCATCTCTGCATCGGAGTCTCTATTCTTGACATTTGATGTGAAGGGCAGTGCTACTTTTAAATTGCCAGGGGAGAATTAGAGCCACAGGGCATGAGCACAGCCCCTCTGGGTACTGAGAGACAAAATTCTCTGGCTTCCGTGCACTGGGTGTGCACATGCCTGTGTGCAATACACGTTTGCACCCATATCTCAAAGAACAGTTATAGTACAGGTAAATAACCACCTTTTCTCTCTTCCCTCCCCATATTCTGTTTCTCAGCAATGGGCTGAGTGTCTTTTTTTCTTTCCCTTCTGCTCTTGTCTTCCCTTTTTGAGCATTGGCAGCAAATAATGTAGTTTAACTAATTCACTACTACTTTGTGTACCTGACAAAAAGCATGTCCAGTGCTGTTCCATGTACTATGTATGGCCCTGTTGAAAATTGATGTTAGTTACATTAGAACATTGCCCAGTGGTTTAATACAGTGCTAAATCTATAAAATTAACAGAATATCAACTAGCAAGGCCCTCTGATGCAAACAGGAGGGAGCTGCTACTTGGAAGCCTTGCCAGACCTGGGCATCCAATGAAGAAGTTTTTCTGGGGTGAGTTTTGCCCTGACATTCTAAGACTTTAACAAATATGTGTAGTATAGAAAAACTGATGTCTTAACAATATGAGATTCTTTAGTATTTCACCAAACTCTGGTGCTAGCTGAAATACGTGAAAACAATTCTGCATTTTGAATACTGTAACACACTTCACGATAAAAAGTGCTATGTGAATTGAAGATATTTTCAACTCCAGCCTTGCTATTTGCCTCATGCCCATTCATGGTAACTTATTGTTAGTGTACTGGTGATATCATCTAGGGCAGCTGTGGTTCACGTAGCCTCCTGTCTTATCCATTATAAATCTTGGAAAAACAGTATTTGCATCTTGGATGTAAAAGACAGGTACCTGTGGGCTCACAAGGAAGGTTTTTCAAAGCAGTTGGTTCAGCCTCAAAGCTGCAATAGCAACTGAGTGACAGCTTCACTGCCATTGTACAGTCTTGTGAGTAGGGGTGGGTAGAAGGGAGAATTCACGTTCTTTCTTTCACCGCATACAGTCCCTGTAGAATCAAACCCCATGTGTGCTGCTGTGCATTAATTACAAGGTTAGAACCAGCCTTAGATTCTGTCAACTTGCAGTCTAGTCTTTTTAAAAAAGACTAGTTTTAGGTGCTACACCTAATCCTGAATCTCTCCTGACACTTTTTGTGGGTTATAGTAACATTTTCCTATAATCATAATGTTTTTTCTCTCCCATGTTATGAAAGACTCATACAAACAGGGAAAATAGTGAAATTGGCTATGCACAAGGGTTTGTGTAGTACACAAAATGAATAAACTGCAAAATTCAGAAAAATATATAGTCTCTAATCTTTATTACAGTGCTCTTAAGAGTTTTTTTGTAAGAATAGGAGGTAAAAAACTTCAGAGAAGAGTAATTTTTAAAATTGCTGTCCCTTGGACTCTGAATTTCCTGGCAATCATTGTATTTAATCACAATATTAATATTAGTTAAAACTTTTTTCCCTATGTACCAGTATGTATTTTATCTCAGTATTTGTTCATGTATTCATGGCCTGAACATTCTGTGCTCCATCATGCATTCCTTGCACATCCAAAACTGTGAAATGCTTGTGCATAAGGAATCCAAGATTAGATTCTGTGATTAGATCTTGTGATTAGAAAAGCACTAGTAATGTGAGGCCAAATAGCTACTTTTTTAACATTTACAGGTAATGCAGAGACACTAAAGCATGAGCCTAAAAAGAGTAATACTGATATCTACACCAGACTGAGGGATTTTTGGCAGCACTATTACTCTGCTCACTATATGAACGTAGTTGTCCAGTCTAAAGGTAACATCATTTGTTGCTTAAATACAAATTCTTACATACTGCTTTAAAGTAGAGGACTGTTTCAGCATAGAACTTACACCTGGCTGCTCATTAGCTAATGATGATTCTACTGTAGTCACCTGTATTGGTTTATAAACCCATAGAAAATGCCAGTGTTTAGCTTTTTTTCTATTTAAATTCCCTGGTAGTGGTGATTGAAATCTAAGCATCAAGTCTGAAATACCAGATCTCTTGGGGGGATTCTGCGCAAAAAAATTCAAAATTCTGCATACTTTATTTGTCAAAAGAATGCAATATATTCACAGCAGTTTTGGTAATTTATTTAAACTACAATACAGAAAAAAGTCACAATAACTATTCGGCATTTCCTAAACACATGAAGGTTAAGTTACAAACACTTGGTAACTAATACCCTGAATTGCAGTTATAATACTGGATTTTCATTTAAATTACATTACAGAATACTAAATAGAAAAAAAAAGGTAGACTGTCATTTTAAATTGCTCAGACTTTCGCACATGAAAGTCATACAGTTTTGCTAATCATTGTCCTGGATCTGCCTGGGTACTTTGGGAAGTGCTTGGTTCTGGTTGTCCTGACATTTTGTTTGCCCTCAAAGTCTTTTTTGTTTAAAGAGGTAAGTAACATAAGTCTTGAGCTGTAATTTAACCCCACTTTGGCACCGAAAAAAAGTGAGAAAGCACATAGATCTTCCTAGCTGAGGATTCCCTTACTGTCATTTATAATAAGGCTCTTTTACATCACTTTGGCAATGTAGGAGCCTTAAAACTTTCACAGGTTTTATGCTCTTGGGGGAATTGACGAAGAATGGGAACAGTTAACGAACAATAGGAACTTTAACAATGTTGGCAGGCTACTACATTTCTGCCTCAGAGAATGAGATCAATTAACTCAGGCAAGCTGCTACATTTCTGCCTCTAGCCTGCCTCGTGCATAATAAAAAGTCCTACCCTTCCATGCCAGCGAGCTGCAGTTGCAAGAGAGAGGGACAGTCTCTTTCTCTCGCTTGTTGGCATGCACGTATGCCCAGCCCCGCACCGCCCCCAATGGTAATCAACCATGTAGGTGCACATGCCCAGCCCCCCTCTCCAGTCTCTAAAGCTGCTACAGACACGCTGGAACAGACGTGCTGCTTGGGCTGTCGGGGAAGAAGTGCGTGTCCCCCAGCAGAATTTTTAGGCATTTTTTTTGTGCAGGGGCCACAGAAAAATGTGGCCTGTATGAATTCTGCACCCACACAGGGGTGCAGAAATCTGTCAGGAGTACATAATGGTGCCCCAGTTTTGGTTAGGGGATCTTGACACTACCATAATTGTAATAAATACTATGTTTCGGTGCATTGTCCAAATATTTGCAGATATATTTGCATAATATTTGCAAAAAGCAGGACTATGTGAACAGAAGTTCTGCAACTATGGATAGTCATTAGGAAGAAACGCATAGAAGTCAGTAATCATGCTACTTATTTTCATAGTCCCATATCTGTTGAAGAAAATATTATTTTCTTTTTGATTTACATAATCACTTTAATTATGCTACAGGGACCACTAATGCAGAACTCTTGGTACTGACACTTTGTGAGTTGTTAACTTGGCGTATTGTATTCCTTCCTTTATAAGGAAAAATGTTTCCCATTTGACAGTCTATAATATGTGTGACCCTAGGCACCACTGTATTCACACACTACACACTGCTGCAATGATATTTCTACAAAGTATGTCTTGTGAGGTATCATGTAAAAGCTAATAACATGCTGGGTATGAATATCATTGTAAAATGCATGTATTAACATTATATGTGAAGTTATAAATTCCCTCTGTGTGATGTTACTAGAACATGATTAAGACAAGATAGCCTAGTCTGGGCAAAGATGATAAACAGGTGTGCCCTAGACAAAGGAATGTGGGTTTATCAATTTGTTCAAGATGGTTTCTCTCACCCCCAGTCTCCTTTCCAGTTTTTTACTGGCTGGCCTGTCTAGGACTCATCACAGGGCTCAAATTGCTTGGTTTCTTTGTCTCCTTAAGATGAAAGATAAAGACGGAGTCTTTCTCTGTTCCTTATATTCCCAAGGGGATGTCTTTGTCTTACAAGTGAGGAAAGCCTCCTGGAGATTCAGCCTTCTGTGTCTCTTTGGGGTGCAAGAGCTCTGTTAATTCTCTGTCTCTCAAGTCCAGGCTCAGGATAACCCTGGCTGGTTTAGCGAAATATCTTTGTTTACTGCTATTATATAAATTGAGATAAACTCACATTCCTTTGTCTAGGACAGACCGGTTTATCACCTTTACCTAGGCTAGACTGTCTTATCTTAAACATATTCTAATAACATCATAAAGAGGGAATTAATAACATCACATGTTCATTTTACAATTATATTCATAACCAGCGTGTTACTAGTTTTTGTATGATGCCTCACAAGACATATTTTATACAAATATCATTGCAGTAGGGTGTGAATTCAGTAGTGCGTAGGGTCACCGTATGCTGCTCAGGTGCACAACTGTGCCAGATGTACCCCTTTTGGAGACCACTGCATTATTTATACTGTGCTTGAGAAGGTTGAGCAGACCTGCTATACTATAAGGATCTAGCAAATCATAAAGTCACAGGTGTCACCTAATCTCTCAGTTGTAGTTGTAATGGATACATATGACCATCATCAAAGCATAATCCAAAACCAGTTATCTATGGGATTTGGTAAAATTGGGGAAATCAGCCCAACAGGTTTTGAAGTTTACCCTCTTGGTCTATCTAGCATTACTGAATACTGATTTGTAGGCTCTAATGAGCCTGTTTACTCTGGGTCCCCAAGCTAATTTGGATTAATGGTGGAAGATTTTCAACCTCCCTTTTCCTGAAAACTTGGCTCTATGCTCGTTAGAGAGTTACATTTATAGCTTTCTTTTTTTCTTTCCTTACTAGAAACTTTGGACACTTTGGAGAAGTGGGTGAAGGAAATCTTTTCACAGATTCCAAATAAGTAAGATACTTTACTGATGCAAAAAGAATCTGATGTGTGGTGTTGGCCTTGATGCTAGAGGCTGATTGATGTCTGCTACTCCTATGCTGACGCCTCCTTTGTTGGGTGGAGAATTATAGTCTGCATTTGAGGTGTACTAAATGTTATGACTTTGCTTTGTGTAAAAGATAATTAGTACAAAATACAAATTGAGAGAGTAGTTTGTAGTGTTTTATATGGTTGTAACAGATTATAAATGTGGGTTTTCAAACTAATTCAATGCAATTCTATCCATTGAAGTGTGCTGTCTAAGATTTGGAAACTCGACGCAAATTTTGTTGTATCTGATAATTGTTGGGATCCTAAGATGTGTCCCCTTAATTCAAAATACAATTATATATGAAACAAAATTTTTCAGTTTGTGACCAGATATGACTCTTTGTTCCTTCATCTCATAGCTACTATTTTGGTGTGTTTGCTATGTTGTAATATCATAGTTAAGGCTATGTTTATGTCATGGAAGTCACGGAATCCGTGACTTCCAGAGACCTCCCTGACATTTTCTGCTTCAGCCCTTGGGACTCAGGGACTGGAGCTGGCAGCCAGCGGGGCCCCGGCAGGTTCCAGCGACATGTGACAGCTTCCTCAGGGTTCCCCTGCAGGCTACCAGTGACGGGTG